GAGATTATAATGTGAGTGTGAAAATAAAATCATGGGGTGGGTCTAATAGCTCTCAATCCAAAATTCAAATAGTCTACTATGTAGCTATGTAGGCAAATAAATGACATATTATTATAAAATATTTACAACTCATGCCACAATACCCTAAATATGTCAATAAGTGTTTTTTTTTTTTTTTTTTGGGTTGAACAATAAGTGTTATTATTACTTACCCTTAATTATGACAAATGAGCAATGAATTCCTGTTTTAAAACCAGGTATTACAAATATAAATAATATCTATAACTACTAATATATTATACTATGTAATATATCTACATATAAACTAATTTACCTATATTATAAAAATTCAATAATTTACCTACATTGTTTTGATATAAATGATTTACCTACGGTTATATTTATTTTAATCACCTTTAATTATGATCAATGAGCAAGGATGTTGATAAACTCATCCTATTGTCCTATTTTTTCACCCACATTTTAATAAAAATATTAATGACATATTTATCCTTTTGAAAACAGCTTTTAAACCCTTATTTATTTCATTATAATTCATGTTATTATAGCTAAAAATAAAAAATAAAATAACCTAGAAAAAACCCAGCTACCTTTCCCCTGTCCCCACCCTGTTCCTTTCCCCCCAACTGTCTCTCCATCTCTCTCTTTGTCGAAACTGGAAAAACTGAAATAGGACAATAACTTGAGCCACCAATGCCAACAAAGAGAGGTATCCCAACTTCTTACCAATTTAACTAATTCCCTCATGGCCACAAACTCCGCTCGAAATGGACACCGATCCCTTCATTTTTCCCGGTCAGCACCGAAATAAATTCTCCCTTCTCATCACTCACCACCACTTCATAAACCCTACCCCATTACTCCCCACCCATGCTTCATCGTTTCTCTCCCCCGTCCTCTGTGTTCTCCCACTCCCGTTTCTCTCTCTACTTCCCTCTTCCGTTTCTCTCTTCCCAAAGGAGATGCCGCCAATCAAGTGTTAAAGGTTTTGGTTGCTGACTATGGTGGGTGACGTTTTGAGGGGGTTGGTACAGCAAGGGTAATGACATTCTGAAAAACTAAAATAGAATTAGTTTAGATATAAATTAGAGGAACCACTTAGTACTATGGTCTAGTGGTATTCCTCTTCATTTATAAGTGAGAGGTCTTATGTTCGATTATTGTCAAATGCAATTTTGAACCACATTATTGATAGCACATTGTAAGGTTTAGCCCACCTCATCCCCTTAGTGTAGATAATATCGTTTGTTAAAATAAAAAAAATAAAAAAATAAAAAGAAAAGAAAAAAAAGAGAGGATATTTTAGGAATAACAATGGGTGAAGAAATAACATTTTAATTTTTAAACTTCTTATAGTGAATAGAATTATAATGTGGGTCGGACAATAAGATAATGAGATGAGTTTAGTAGCACTCATGAGCAATGAGCTCTTGTTTTAAAACCACGTATTACAAATATAAATAATATCTATAACTACTAATATATCCACATATTGATTAATTTACCTATAATTTAAAATTCAATAATTTACCTGCATTCTTTTGATATAATTGATTTACCTACGATTATATTTATACTAATCACCTGCCTTTAAATGTATATTAATTTATCTATATTTGCTTGTACAATAATTTACCTAGCTGCAAGAAAATACAAGTAAATTAGTTTTCAAACACAAACATATGTAAAGAGCAAGAACATGTTAAAAAGAGCAGCAAAGTGTAGTATTGTCTTAAAAAAAATCAATTATAAATTTTGAAATTTGATAGAAGAAAAAGGGAAAAAAACTGGACCTACCAATCAATTAAAAAATTTAAACACCATTTATGAAATCGTTACCAGATTTGCAATATATTCCACCAAATTTGCTTTAAAATAATGAGGGGCATTCTAGGATGAAAAGTTTATAGAATACGAGTCACTAAGCCATAAATGAAAATTTGCTTAGTTGGATTCTTGTCATTGGGTTTAACTCTAGAAAAAGAAATGAGACAGATTATTATTATTATTACTATTATTTTGAACAAACAATATTATCTACACTAAAGGGAGGTGACATTAGCCTCACAATTTGCTAGCAATAATATGGTTCAAATTCGCATTTGGTAGGAATCGAACCTAAAATCTCTTACTTACAAGTGAAAATGAATATCACTAGATCATATTACTAAGTGACAATGAGATGGATTAATTAAGGGTCATAAAATATTAGTTTCACAGGGAAAGGTCAAATTTTTAGAAGGAAAAAAAAAAAGCCTACATGAGTTAAAGGTTACCTAAAAATATAGCCAAAATTAAGTGGTGGGTTAGAAGCTTTAGTCAGATGCCGTCAAGAAAAAAAAAATTGGTAAGAGAATCACCAGGATAATGAGCCATATAGCGTAACAAATACAGCTTCCGAAGGCCAGTAGACAACCCAATAGTCGATCACCAGAATCTGTTTGCGGTAATGATGCCAAGTGGCTGTGTTATTGCTGACTAGTATGTAAAAGGGCAACATGCATGGACCATATTTTGATTTTCCACACCCTCATAAAAGGCCAGAAGCATTGCTCCACCTATTACTATTAATGTTCCGACTATCTTCGCCTTCCCTGTTAGGCTTCTCAAATTCAACTTCTCCAGCTTAAGAAAAATGATCATGATTAATGTTAATAATAAAAATGTTAAATATCATCAATTATCTACATCTTCATGCTTAATTTTGCCTTCAATTCTCCTTGATTGTACTTTTGACTTTTCTTAGTTTCACTGCTCATTCTCTTCGATCCATTTAGGTCAATGTGTCTGATAATTGTTTTAGATATCTTCATCAGAACTTCATCTATTATTTATCTTTTAAAAGTTGTGTTACTAAAATGAATTATTGCTCCACATTCAGACGAGTATAATAACAATACTCACAAATTTTTAAATTGAAGGCCAAAGCTTCAATTAGGCTTAACTTCAAAGACTAATACTATAATTTTTTTTTCAAAATAATAATAAAGCTGGAAAATATGTTACCTGAAGGTGATGGCCAAGATGAAAGTAATAGCTGGGATGAGTTGGGCTATGGCAGAAGCAAATATGGCCGATGTTAAGGCTAAGCTTTCAATGTACAAATTTTGTGATAAAGATCCACTGCAAAATTAATGTTAATTAATTAATAGTCATTTAAATACATGGAAAATAGAATATATAGTCATTAAAGACGATTTTAGCATATTTTCCTTTTTTTCTTCTATTTATTTGGAGAAGACGCATGGCATCTCATTTCATTGAAATAAGGACATAAATAAACAATTAATGTATATTTATATTATTAGCATGGAACGGCACTGCTATGGTGTATATATGTACATATCAAATAAGTTCTTTTCTTTTCGTTTTTTTTCATTTTTTTTATTTTTTGAAAATGGAAAAACTGTGGATGCTGCCTTATGAGCCCTAGAAAGATCAAATATATATTGGTGCAAAAGTTACGTAAAAAAGTTGTGGACATGCGTATTTACAGAGATATACAGTTGGCAATTCCATTTATAGTGGACCACCCCTGTAAGCACTAATATCTACAGCATGCACAACCAATATATACGTACCAATAAATATAAATATAGCTTATACGTACGATTACAATTACTTACTCCCCAAACAAATATTATTTCCAATTATAACGTAGGAGAAGATCATGATTTGGAAGAAAGACAATTGCACATGGATACGGTTCTTACCCGAACAAGCCAGACAAAAATCCTTGCAGGAGTACCATCCATGTGAGTTTTGGCCTGTTCTTCCTGCATGCAAAAATAAACACCAGTTAACTGTTTTAAAAAAGTAGCAGATATGGTTTGCTTGCTATCTCTCTTTTCTCCTTTTTGTTTAAAGCCAATGACACTTCTCGTACGTGCATATATGATGAACTTATTGAATGTTCTCAAACATTACTGTAAATACATTAGAAGATTATGCAGCTACTTTACACAGAGAGAGAGAGAGAGAGAGAGAGAGAGAGAGAGAGAGAGAGAGCTAATAACTAGACAATAATATGATTTTTATTTTTTCTGTAAGGAGAAAAAAGATTCACAAAATAACAAAAAATAGGTATTATATGGCACTGAATATTTCTATGGAAAAACAAAAAATAATAAGTTATGTTATGTATAAGAAGAAAGGAGAGAGGTGCAAAATTGCAAATGATCACCTTTCAAAGAAAAGAGCAATAGGAAGAAGGAAGGCGGTTCCAAAAATGAAGCGATATGCAACAAGAATCCTTAAGTTCATTCCATCGTTAGCGGCCAGTTTGTAGAGAACATTAACTCCTGCAAATGCAAACTGAACCACCACCATTAACAACACTGGCTTCAACCCATGCAGAGCATTACATATCCGACCAGCACCCATCGCCATCGATCACCAATATCACACACACTTAGAGAGAGAGAGAGAGAGAGAGAGAGAGAGAGAGAGAGAGAGGGTTTGAGTGGTAAAAGAAATAAATTATGGAATTGATTGAAATTGAGAGATTTTAGAGCGGTCGGTGCTTCTGGCTTCTTTGGTAGTTCCCACGTCACCACCTACGTACCACATGATCATCGTGGGTCGTGGGCCTTTGCCCAACGACACGAAAGCCAGGGTCGACAACAAGAGCCGTCGGGCAAAGAAAAACTAGCAGACGAACACAAGTTTTGTCGGGCAAATCTTCAGATATTACGTTTCACTTTGAGTAAATGTTAAAATGCATGAAATAAACATGTTGGAATAATGGTAGGCTAGTCAATTTTCTTGTTCAAAGTTAGGCAAGTTAGGTTAGTCAAGCAAGATAGGTAAGTTAGGCAAAATTAGGCTTATGATCTTTTTCTTCCCTATATATATGTTTCATCTTGTAATTGTTTCATCAAGCAAATATACATCAAAATTCAATATGGTATCAGAGCTGTGATCTGGAAAAAACCACAAAACACAGCTCTAAAGCAGCCACGAGGTCAACCATTCTAGGCATGGCCTCTCATTCAAAATGGGAAAATCCCAACCACCCGCTCTATCTCCACCACTCGGATCAACCTGGTGCAATCCTCGTACCACAACCATTGGTGGAAGACAACTACAACACATGGGTTCAATCTATGAGTATGGCCTTAACGGTCAAGAACAAACTTGGTTTTGTTGATGGGACGATCAACAAACCAAGTGAGGATAATTTTGAGGAGCTGCAGCAATGGAATCGCTGCAACAACTTGGTCAAGACATGGCTACTAGGCTCCATGTCAAAGGAGATTTCAGGGAGTGTCATCAACTACAAGGATGCTCGACAAATGTGGACCGATCTGCAGGAGAGGTTCTCACATGTGAATATAGTTCAGCTGTTCCATGTTGAGAACGAGATCCATGATTGCGTCCAAAGCAATATGAGTGTAAGTTCTTACTTCACTAAACTTAAAAGTTTATGGGATGAACGTGATACTTTGTGTTCCATTCCAGCATGCAGTTGTGGAACAAAGAATGAGATGAACTCATATGTTGAAACTCAGAAAACCATGAAGTTCCTTATGGGACTGAACGAATCGTATGCTACGGTTCGAAGCAATACTCTTCTTCTCGAACCACTGCCTACGGTGAACAAGGCATATGCATTGGTCCTTCGACATGAACGCCAGGCAGAGGTTTCCAATGGGAAAAGCACACAACTAGAAACTGCTGTCTTTGCAGTGAAGAATCTGTCGCGAGAACCTACACCTGAAGACAAGGAGATGCGATGTGGAAAGTGCAATAAAACCAATCACATCACCAAAAATTGTCGTGCACATCTCAAGTGCACTTTTTGCGGATGGAAAGGCCACACCTTCGATTTCTGTCAAAAACGGAAAGCAGCCACAGAGACCGAATCCAATCGTCTCTTTTCTTCAAAGGGCAATCAAGTTTCACAAAGTAACAAGCAAGAGACAGTGCCTAATTTCCCGTTCTCTCAGGAGGACTGCAAGCAAATCCTTCAGATGTTGAACAAGAACAAATCATCATTTGCCAATCAAGTCAGTAATCCTCCTAGTCATGAAGAACTTTCAGGTAAAGCCTTCTCTTTTTCATGTAAAGGAACCAAAAGTATTTGGATCCTGGACAGTGGTGCCACGGATCACATAGTTTGCAGTCCTAGTCTCCTTACACACTCACGAGCTGTTGAAAATCATACAGTTGAACTGCCAGATGGTTCCGTTGCCAAAGTCACTCACATTGGACAAGTTGTTTTCTCTCATAATCTTATCCTTGAAAATGTCCTATGTGTGCCGTTCTTTAGGTTGAATTTAATATCTATCAGTAAACTAGCCTATGATTCCTTATATGTCACCATTTTCTTCACCCAATTTTGTGTCATTCAGGACCTTCGCTCGGGGAAGATGATTGGGACAGGAACTGAAAGGGATGGACTTTACTACCTCAACCCATCAAAGAAAGGAACATGCAACAATATTCAAACCGTCTCACCAAAGCTTTGGCACCAACGCCTAGGACACCTATCTCATAAAGCCACTTCGTTATTACCTTTATTTAACAATAAGGCTTGTGATTTGGAAAAATGTTTAATTTTCCCATTGGCCAAACAAACAAGATCACCCTTTCCTTTGAGCTCTATTTCTACCAAATCATGTTTTGAATTATTGCATATTGATATTTGGGGTGGTTATCAAGTTGTTTCTATTTCAGGTGCCAAGTATTTCCTTACCATCGTAGATGACTACACTAGAAGCACTTGGGTTTATTTGATGAAACATAAATCTGACACAAAAGACATTTTAGTCGGATTCATTCAAATGATTGAGACTCAATTCAATACCAGAGTTCAAATCATACGAAGTGACAATGGCCCTGAGTTTAAGCTTGAGCAATTTTATGCTCTCAAAGGCATCATACATCAATCTAGTTGTGTCAACACACCACAACAAAATGGTGTTGCCGAACGTAAACACCGACATTTGCTCAATGTTGCTCGGGCTTTGCTCTTTCAAGCTTGTTTGCCAAAACGTTTTTGGGGGGATGCAATCTTAACCTCAGCCTACCTCATCAATAGAACACCCACTCCACTTCTCCAAGGTAAAACACCTTACGAAAAACTGTTTCACAAAGCACCTAACTATTCTCATTTAAAGGTTTTCGGTAGTTTATGTTTTGCTTCTACACACGCCCAAAGGCCCTCTAAATTCGACCCCCGTGCAATCCAATGCATTTTTCTTGGGTATCCTTATGGTCAAAAGGGTTATAAATTGTTTGATATAAAACACAATACGACTTTTGTTTCTAGGGATGTTGTTTTTTTTGAAAATCATTTTCCATTCCAAAATCATACCACTTCCGCTGCCCCGTCTCCATCAAACATTACACCCTCACCCATCACGTTTGACTTGACCTCTCCCATTGAGTCGCACTCAAGCCTTGCACCCGAAGAAATAAACACCACCTCTCCCACACTTACCGACATCACACCACTCTCATCTCCTTTACCTACTACAACTCCACCACCAGATACCTTATCAACACCTTCACATACCCTACACTCTTCCCCACCTCCAACCACTCCATCACCAGACCAACCACCTCCACTCCATCGTAGCACTTGACCGACCAAAACTTCCACATTTTTGCAGGACTTTCATGTTGAGGTGGCCCTCCCTTCCTGTGTTGCTCCCACATCTTCCACAAGCATGGTCCAGTCATCAGGTACATCTCACCCCATATCTCATTATTTATTTTATGACCATGTATCCCCCACTCACAAAACCTTTCTCACCACCCTCACCATTATCAAAGAACCCACCAGTTTTTCGCAGGCTGTTCAGGATCCAAAATGGCGTGACGCCATGCAAAAAGAGATTGTTGCCCTTCATGACAATCGCACTTGGACTCTTGTGCCCTTACCACCTCACAAACATCCCATCGGTTGCAAATGGATCTATAAGGTGAAGCTTAAACCTGACGGCAGTGTTGAACGCTACAAAGCTCGTCTCGTTGCTAAAGGCTACAGTCAAATTGAGGGGCTTGATTATCGGGAAACTTTTGCTCCAGTTGCCAAGCTCACCACCGTTCGCGTCCTCCTAAGTATTGCCTCGATACGAGGCTGGCATCTTCATCAACTTGATGTGAACAACGCATTTTTGCATGGTGACTTATACGAGGAGGTTTATATGTCCCTGCCTCCTGGGTTCGGACGAAAGGGGGAGACACGAGTATGCAAATTACACAAATCCATTTATGGTTTAAAACAGGCCTCGAGACAATGGTTTATCAAGCTGTCTAGTGCTCTCAAGACTGCTGGTTTTCATCAATCATGGTCAGATTACTCATTGTTCGTCCGAAACTGTCAAGGCAGTTTCATGGCATTACTTGTGTATGTTGATGACGTGATACTTGCAGGTAACAATTTGAGAGAAATTGAAGAGACTAAACTCTTCCTTTCCCAACATTTTAAACTAAAGGATTTGGGAAAACTCAAATACTTTTTGGGGATAGAAGTTGCAAGATCTAAACAAGGGATTGCCTTGTGCCAACGCAAATATGCGTTGGAGATACTAGAAGATGCTGGGTTCCTTGGTGCGAAGCCCTCACGATTACCAATGGAACCAAACCTGTCCCTTACACAGACTGATGGGACGCTCCTACATGATCCTTCTTCATACAGGCGACTCGTAGGGAGGCTGATTTACTTAACCATCACGCGACCTGACCTGACTTATGTGGTTAATATGTTGAGCCAATTCATGGACAAGCCACGACAACCACACCTTGAAGCGGTGCATAAGGTTCTCAGGTACATCAAACAATCTCCTGGACAGGGAATTCTTTTGCCTTCTACAGGTTCACTACAACTACAAGCCTTTTGTGATGCTGATTGAGCTCGGTGTAAAGACACTAGAAGGTCAATAACCGGTTATTGTATCTTCCTTGGACAAGCACCGATATCTTGGAAAACGAAGAAACAAAACACAATATCTCGTTCCAGTGCAGAGGCAGAATACCGTTCTATGGCTACTACTTGTTGTGAAGTTATATGGCTAAGAAACATTTTGAAGGACTTGCAAGTAAATCATGCACAACCAGTCACAATGTTTTGTGATAATCAAGCTGCCATGCACATTGCTTCGAACCCAGTGTTTCATGAACGAACGAAGCATATAGAGATAGACTGTCACTTAGTACGTGAGAAGATTCAAATGGGAATGGTGCAAACAGCTTACATACGGACCTCGAATCAACCTGCAGACTTGTTCACCAAACCACTAAGCTCGGCACAATTTGAGGTCTTAATTAGCAAGTTGGGTGTCATCGACATTCACACTCCAACTTGAGGGGGAGTGTTAAAATGCATGAAATAAACATGTTAGAATAATGGTAGGCTAGTCAATTTTCTTGTTCAAAGTTAGGCAAGTTAGGTTAGTCAAGCAAGATAGGTAAGTTAGGCAAAATTAGGCTTATGATCTTTTTCTTCCCTATATATATGTTTCATCTTGTAATTGTTTCATCAAGCAAATATACATCAAAATTCAATAGTAAATCCGAAATGTTGATTAGCTTTGCACTGTCAACTGAAAAATTAGCCGAGCGAAGTACCTTTACATGGTGAAGTTGTCGTCATCACAAAAACGTTACTGTTAAATGTAGTAGTGTAGGCCAAGCCTTATATTCTGGGGTAGTGACATAAGGCAAATATTGATTAGGAAGAGCTAGTATAACTTAATAATTAACCTTTCCTCTAAGAGCAAGAGGAATCATAACGGCATCAGAAAACATGTTATACGGTAGGCAATGAGTGTTGCAGCATAAGGATGTTGTTGATGAAGATCAATGGATCAGGAAGGATTGCATCACAATGCAATCCAACATGAAGTTCTGAGTTTATAGTTTGCATATGTTTGAAGGTTGTATTTAAATGTATTAAATGGTTGAGATTAGAACATCTAAACAATGTAGAGTGAGTGACGTGTATTAGTTAGTGGTGATTTAAGTTGGCACTTGTAGTGCACATGACCTCACTAACACGAGGGAACGGTGTGAAATCCCAATAGCTTTCTTTTGTTCTTTGCTAGCAGCACACTATTGCCTCGTTTGACAGCTTGAACTGTACTGATTATTTCAATCGAATAAGATAATTTATGCATTGATAGTACTGACTAAATTAGTCGGGTATTTGGTGTAGTATCGTACTAATGACCTGATTGTTGAAATAGAAAAATCCACTTTTTGTTCTTGCATAAATTGCAGATTTGAATCTGAGGAAGGGGAGGGACCAACAACAATTCCATCACTCTCTTCAATCACTGCCGCCAGATTCCATCATATTTCTAACCTATTCAAATAAAAAGCCCAGATGAAATCTTTCCCATATGACATCAAATGTAAATTCCCCAAATTACTTTGACAAAAAATCCCCAAAATTAAAATCACAGAACAAAAGTTCTGCAACCAACATAGCATTCTACAACCAATTTGCTCCAATTTGCGTGTCGACCTCCTTTAACAAATCAAACTCCAACCCTTTCTTCTTCAGCTCCTTGATGAACTTTCCCATAAGATTCTTATCCTCGTTATCTCTCTCCATCAACTTCTCGAGTTATACCCCATTGTGTCGGTTTTATACCCCATTGTCCAAATGATACCCAGTGATAAGCAGAGCAACAGGATCCAGAACCGGCGGCATGCGAACCCGTGCGGGTACTGCTATGAGGAACTGAAGATGAGGGCGATGAAGAAGATGAAAGCATCGTGAAAGAGGAAGAAGAAGGTGAAAGAGTTGGAAGAAGAAGAAGGTGAAAGAGGAAGAAGAAGATGAAACATCGTGATTTACTTTTGAACTGAGTTGATTTGGGGTTCTTGAGAGAGACCCTGTTGAGAATTAGCTCTTCTTCTTTCAGCCCTTGCTTCGGAAGTGGGTGTGAGGAGAGAGAGAAGACGAAGGAGAAGAAAATGAGGAAGAAAAATCTGGGATTGGCGATGGCAACGACAGCGAGCTTGCAGAACGATGCGAGAGAGCGAGAGAGCGAGAGAGCGAGAGTGATGGAGCGAGATGGATGGACCCGACTAATGATACAAAGGTTTTCGGAAGGATAAAAAACGGGCATACACTGGATAAATATGTGGGCCCAGTATAAGTAATACAGGTGGCATTCGTGTCGTGTTTTCTGTGTTCGTGTTATTTTCATGTCATATCCAATATCTTAACGGGTTGTATTGTGTAATACCCGTTAAAATAAGCGGGTAAAATGACCTCATCCTAAATCAATCCGATAATATTAACAGGTAATATGACCCGACCCGTTATCCATTAAAGAAAAAATATTTTAAACCAATAAATAATCAAATGAAAAACATAGTACTAAATAAGCATATACATTCCATATTGTCACATCCAAAACATAAAAACGAATT